TGGGACCATAATGATTAGCTTAGACCATTATTTTTCATACCTTTTGATCATGATACACAGTAGGAAATACATTTTATACTAAGACAGCCTTCACCCATATATTTGTGTATTTGTATATGTCTTTCATAATTAAACATAATTCAAAATAAAGACTTCTCAAAATGATACCCATATACATGACAAAGTTAAATTTTATTTATAATTAAATGTATTTTTAACCCTCAAATACAAAAAAAAATAGATTTAATTAGATAAAAAAAAATTAGATTTAACCTGTATAGTTACAGGTTTCATGAATTTGTTCCAGTCTAGAATACATGAAGACTATGAGCATTTATGATATACTGTTGAGCCTATTCTTTTAAAATTTGATTGAGTCAAAACTGAAAATACTTTTTCACATTAGTAGGTCACTGTGAGTGGTACAATAATTTTAGTAACAACTCATACAGACAAGACTCCTGAGTGAATTTTATATTCAAGGAAATAGGATATACAGTGCCAGCATACCAGGGCTTGGGATCATTAAGAACCATATTGGAAGCTTCCCAGCACAGAATATGGAAAGATAAGACAACTAAATGCAGTGTGTGATCCAGTGGTTGAATTTTGGATGGGGAGGAAAAAATGCTGTAGAGTAGAATTGGGACAATTGGTAAAATTGGAGTATGGGCTATACATTACATAATATTACATCGATGATAACTTCTCCGCATAAATTTTTATTATTCTACAGTGGCATGGAAGACAATGTCTTTGTTATTTAGAAACATACACTGAAGTATTTACTTGAAAGAAAGCTAAGAAATTCCCTGCAAACTTTTTTTTGAATTTGAAATTACTTCAAAATTTTAAGTTTAAAAATGCCAAAAGAAAGTGTTTTTCACCTGGAAAAAAAAAATGTACGTGGTTCTTGAGTTCACTTATACTGAATGTATCACATGTATATCATGGTTATCGTGGTGTTTAATTCTTCTAATATGGTGTAGGATTTTTGTTTACTAGTATTTTTTTGAGGATATTTGTACCTCTCTTCACAAGGAATATTTATTTGTCTATAGTTTTCTTTCCTGATGTTGTCTTTGTTTGGCTTTGACCTCAGGGTAATGTTGCCCTCAACAAACGAGTTAGGAAGGGTCACCTTCTCTTATATTTTCTGGAAGAATTTGAGAAGGATTGGTGTTAGTTCTTTATAAATGTTTGGTAGAATTCATCAAACTATCTGGTCCTAGACTCTTCTTTGTTGGGAGATTTTTGGTTACTGTTGAATCTCTTGTTAGAAGTCTGTTCATATTTTATCTCTTCTTGAGCCCATTTTTGGCAGTTACTCTGTTTCTAGGAATTGTCCATTTTTTATTCCTTTGCAGTTTGTATTGAACAAGAATGCATTTTTACATTGTATAAATACATATGATTCAGTTTTATCGAAGTTATATTTGAACTATACAAAATAAATGTCCTAAAACTGCCTTCTCTTGCTTTGAATATCTGACCTGAAATACGGTTATCATGCTGATATTTTGAGCATTCCAGTTGCTTCACATCCTTACCAATACTTGGTATTTTCTGTCTTTTGAATTTTAGCCATTTTGGTAGGGATGCTTCAAATGTTTTTGTTTGGTTTTATACTGTCTTCTACAAGAACATTACTATCAACAGTACATCTGGGGTTGAACATTTTTATTGTTTTTTGTATTTGTAAATCATTTTTAAATTAATTTTATTTTAAAGTCTTACAGTTATTTTTTTCTATTTAAAATGTGCCTTAAGTCAAACTGAATAGAGTTAGCACTTTCTCTCCTTTTTGTCACTGTTAATACTTCCAAATCTGGTAAGGAGCCTGCTTCATTATTCTTTTTCTTCCAAGTCTACAATGATTTTTTTTTTAAGATTTATTTATTTATTAGAGAGAGAGCAGGATGGGAGGGACAGAGGGAGAGGGAGAGAGAGACTATAAAGCAGACTCTTCCCTAAGTGCAGAGCCCGATACGAGGTTTGATCTCTTGATCCTGAGATCATGACCTGACTGAAAATCAAGAGTCAGACACTCAACCAAGTGAGCCACTCAGGTGCCCTGAAATTTATAATGATTCTTAAGGTCAACTTATGCTAATGTTACAATCAATAACATCCTTTCTGAAAAAGACACAAAGTTTGTAACTAAAGTTGGTTGTAAGAATGAGAGATTTGCCAATGATGATAAACTTCTCATACTTTTTTTTTTTGATACTTTGCTTCATAAATCTGTAAAGTTACTCTTGAACCTGTCCATGAGTCAGTGACCATCGTTTATCAGAAGATCCAGTAAGATTTCCATGAACAAAACACATGTTTCTGGCCAATTTGTGCATTCCTCTCACATGATACTCTCAGTTGGCTGTGTTATTTATTGCACTGTTGATTCCACGTTGAGAATATGTGCAACATACTTGATGTGGTCTATTTCTTTTGTGACTTTTTTATGCTGGTGGCAAGACACCATATTAACTTTATGACCCTCTAACTGGTCAGAACTCTCAGTTTGAGAACCACTGATTTTACTGTTACTATTATCTGCTAGGGTGGGGCCAGCCTTCTCAAATCCTATGGCCTTCCAGAGGTGGGGTAGATGCATGAAACACAGTCAGGTTTCTGTTGGAAGGAGGAAAAGAGGGCTGGAGGCTAGAGGTAGGACAGGCAATCAAGACTGTCCAGCTACAGGGACTGCTTACTACTTACTTAGCTGTCCCAAGCATCTGGTGTGATTTGACATATGTGGAGTTGTCTTTATTCTAATGGCTCCCAACTATTACTTTTAGTTTTTCCTATTTGTTCATAGTTCTGTCTCTTTCCTCAGGTATTTTTCTCGTTTTTCTCATTGTGCTTGCTACTACGTTGTCCACCACCTCCTACCCTCTCATTTTTAAAAGCACCCTTTTCATTTTGCTGCTTCTCATCTGCTTACACCAAAAAAAGACTATCCAGCTTCTTAAATGTTGTGGCTCAAAAGAAATCAGGCTCTCGGGGCATCTGGATGACACAGGTGATTGAGTAACCAACTTTTGGTTTCGGCCCAAGTCTCATCTCAGGGTTGTGAGATCAGGCCCCATGTCAGGCTTCATGCTCGGTGCAGTCTGAATGGGTTTCTCTCTACCACCACCCCACCGACCCTGCCAATAATAAAATCTTTTTAAGAGAAAGTAATCAGATTCTCAGCAAGGTCTTGGGTTTTTCTTTATGATCCTTTTCATGATTATGTTTGCTTTTTAGGATTTTTTAAATTATGTCTTTGGTTTTTACCTGTGGCCTAGATAACCAATCAAGTTATCTCTGAAATATAAAAATACTTCTGAACCCTTCAGTCTTTCAGAACAAAACTTCTACTCTTATTAAAAGAAAATAACAAGAGGGTGGTTGGATTATGGACATTGGAGAGGGTATGTGATATGGTGAGTGCTGTGAAGTGTATAAGCCTAACAATTCACAGACCTGTACCCCTGGGGCAAATAATACATTATATGTTAATAAAAATAATTAATTTTTAAAAAGATAATAACATCATCACAACACCCAGGGACCCTATTTTCTTTATGGCCTTCCTGGGAGTTTAAGGTTATCAAACTTAACCTTGTTTTCTTGAGACAAATGGAGACGGATGCTGACCCACGGTTTCACATCTGGGTCACAACAACTAGATAGTTGTAGTTTCACAACAACTAGAGAACCTTTAATTTTAGAATTATGAATAACACCAAGTATATTATAAGGTACTTCTCAGTTAGCCAATAAATATTTACTTTCAAATACTGTATTTTATAAACTCTAAGATGCACATTTTCTTACATTTTTAACATCTCTGAAATCAGGATACTTCTTAACAATTAATGGTATCTTAGAGTTGCTGTTGGCCCTATGGCAAATCATGGTGTAGTTTCTCTGTGGACTTGATTGTTAATATTGGAGTCATGACTGAACTGCAAACCCTTCACTGTTTTAGTCAACAAACTGTTGAACAATAAAACATTTAAGGACCTTTAAAGAAAGAATAGTTTTGTTGTTGTCCAAAATCTCTTCTGTTCATACTTTCTGTTAAGATTAAGATAGAACCACTGTCAAAGTTTACAGAATGAGCATCGGAAGCTTTAAAGAAAATCTCAGAGACTATAGAATATTACTCTTTCAGGAAGTGCTATGTTGCCTAGGACCTTAAGAGCATTAAGGACAATACTGAATGGAAAAACCTGGACATTGAAGACTCTGAGTAAAAAAAGTACACCAGAAGAGTGAATGCTGAATTTGAAGAAGTTTTAGGAATACCTTAACCAGTTTAGATTGTTTATATTTTCCTTTTTATCTCTGCGTGATAGATGATTTAAGAACTTTCTAAGTAAGTCTAAAAGAATTCTTTAAATATTTAAAAAATAAGAATTTCAAGTAATAAAGCATTGTGTCATGATTTAATAGGCAGTGGTACATAAAATAGTGCATCTTGTAAGTAATAGTATCTTTAATGTGATGAAACATTTGGTTTACTGTCAGACTTATTGTATAGTGGTGTATTGCTTCCTACTATAATTTACTCTATCTCCTCTTAAGAAGAACTAAGGGATAATATACACATGTAAGTGAAGATAACACTGCCAGGCACTGTGTGAACCATGGAGACCAATATGTCTCAAAGTGTGCTCCTGGAACCAGCAGCACCTGAGAGGTTATTAAAATGCAAATTCTCAGCCTTTCCCATACTCCGCCGCCCACGCCCATACACACTGGACCTACTGAGTCTGAAATTCTGGATATGGGGCCTGGCAGCCTGTGTTTTAAACCCTACAGGTGATTTTGAGGGCAAACTAAGGTTTGAGAACCACTGCTCTGGTAGAGTTCTAGGGAAGTAAAAATTACTGGTGCTGTTGTATTGAAGTTAGGTGTATGAGTGATTTAGAGAGTAAGAAAACAGATTGCCTAAGTTCAGCTCAAATACGTAGTAACTATACGTTTAAGAAAAAATGAAAAAATTTAAGCCAGGTACCAGTAATATAGGTATGTAATGAAATAGTCCAAAAACTGCATGTCCTTCACTCTGGGTTGACATTTGATCTTTGTCTTTTTAGCACGATGTATCTCAGACTTTACTCAAGGCAACACTGGACAGTGTTGTAGAAGAATGTGTCAGCTTTGTGGGAGTGGATATTAACATCTGTTCAGAAGTTTTGTTAAGGTGAGACAAGAGCTCTGTGGCTGAAGATGACAGAACCTTACGTTTAACTGACTGTTCAGTTCAAATTTAGCTAAAATAAGGAGACACGTGTGTAAAGTTGTCAAGTACAAAAAATCTTTGAGTTCATACCTGGCTTGAGCTAATCAGTTTGAGGGGAAGACATCATTTAAGAAAAGAATTGTAACAGGGGCGCCTGGGTGGCTCAGTGGGTCAAAGCCTCTGCCTTCGGCTCAGGTCATGATCTCAGGGTCCTGGGATCGAGCCCCGCATCGGGCTCTCTGCGCAGCGGGGAGCCTGCTTCCCTCTCTCTCTCTCTGCCTGCCTCTCTGCCTGCTTGTGATCTCTGTCTGTCAAATAAATAAATAAATCTTTAAAAAAAAAAAAAAAGAAAAGAATTGTAACAATTCACATTATCATTTTTAATACTACAAATCTAAAGTGAAGAACATATGGTAACTATTGAGTGCATTAGTGTTGCTAATAGAATTTAAATAAGGTTAACATGGAAAAGAGCTGTTTCCCACCGCATGAGAGTAGGTTTTTTTCACTAGTTCAGTCTCATGCACACTTCTGTCAAAGCTGGCAGTAACCAAAAGATAAATTCTGAGGGTTCAAGGTATAGTAACGGTATTTTTACCTTGATTCTGCAAGTCGCATATCAAAATCCTTATCATACTATAATCACGTCTTATATACTCTGTCCTGTTTTACTGTGGTTATAGAAGAGCTGCTTTCTTCGTTCATAAGGTTTGCACTTATTACACAAGTCTGCTGAGGCAGCATGAAATTCTGGAACTATGTAAAAGATCTGGACTCTTCAGCTTTGAGACTAGTATAACAGAAAATACCCCTGGGGCGCCTGGGTGGCTCAGTGGGTTAAGCCGCTGCCTTCGGCTCAGGTCATGATCTCAGGGTCCTGGGATCGAGCCCCACATCGGGCTCTCTGCTCAGCAGGGAGCCTGCTTCCTCCTC